CAAACACTTTAAGAGATTGTTTTTCCTTCACACGTAAGCTAGAGGTGAGCTAATAGAGTCTCTTTCCTGAAGGAGAAATTAATCTGGCCCTTAATCAGGGAAAAGCAAAACAGAACCGCCACGGAAATGGATATCGGGGTGTGAAAGTGGCTGCGCTCACGCGGAGCCCCACGACCCGCACGGGAAGAGCCGCCGTGCCCCTCTCCTGACCTCACCGTGAGAGAAAGGCGCTGCGTGGGGAACGAGCCCGAGCTGAAAGCCTGATGGTCGCCACTTGGGAGCAGCTGCGACGCTTTCGCGTGAAATCTGCCGAGGGGACGGGAGCAGGACTCGTGGCAGCCCGTGCCCTCGGTGAGCTGCAGCCAATTACTTTGCTTTCATGAGAGAAGTTTTGCGTATGGCTGCTTGTGAGGAAACGCGAGAAGCTGACGAGCCTTTGTTATGATTTAATCAAAGAAATTAAAGAGGGAAGGGTTGGGATACACCCAGTTTGGGACTTCAAAAAAATTTTTAAAAAGGAAAAAAAAAAGGGAATTAGTTTTCAGGACGCTCTGTCCAACCGTTTTTCCGATGCGCAGGGCAGCGCCGGGCTCGCCAAGCCCATTCATCGCACCGCTGCCGGGGGTTTGGGGTTTCTCTTTTCCCCTTAATGGGGTTCCTTTCAAGACGCAATTGCGATTTCGGGGGGAAAGGATGAGTAGGTGCCAAAACAAGCTGAGGGTGGGGCGGATTTTAGCTTTTCAAACAATTTAGCAGTTGTACTCGCAGCAGAGATGTAGGTGGGTACTTGAAAACCTCTTCCACCGAGGTGTCCTATTTTAGCAATTCTAATTAACACAGAGTTTAAAAAATGCGAAGGAAGAGCGAGTTCCTTGCCTTGTTTCCAATGGGCGCGGGGGATACCGTCAGGTACAAAGTGCTCCTAGCTTGTTCTAACGTGCACCTTTGTTTAAAAGAGGAAAAAAAAAAAATAATAATAAATCAAGCTCTTCCTCCGATTTCAACTAATGTATTTTAAACTGGATTTATTTCCTCTGCTTTGTGTGATTTGATACCTACCGTGTAGCCCTGGCCCACTTTCAGCCCTGCGGGTGCGCTCTATTACGTGCGCGGCTGAAAGAAAAAAGACGCTCCTGCGCGCTGTACCTGCGCTTGGGAGCTGAATTGTGAGCAAACCCGGACTCAGCGGAGCGCGGATCCTCTCCTCTCCCTGCAGCCGTGGCTGTGCGAGTTCAGCCCAGCCCCTCGGATCAATCCCTCAGCCGTTTCCTGGTGCTTCTTTACACGGCTCCTTATTGAAAAGGAGCCTTTACCGCCACCTACAAATAGCCCCGGAGAGGAGGCACTTTCCCTGCGCTCCGTTCTCCCCACTCAGCGCTCTCTCCCATCCGCGCCGTGCAGGAGCTGCCCGCACGGCCCCTTCGCAGCCTTTGGGGCGAGCGATCGGCTCCGGGTTCCAACACCCGACCACGCCGGGAGCCTTGAACTTTGTTCCTAGGCACGTGAGGGAGAGGAGCAAACACCGACACTCACCGCGCTCTTTGGATTCTCAGGCACAACTCCGTCTCTCCCTCTTCTTTGTGTATGAATGAGCGGAGGTTACAGCCCGGGCACGCTGTATAATGCCCCGGATAACCCCGGCCCTGTTAATTTAATGCTACGCTAACCCAACGGCGTGCCATTGGAGCTCTGTGAAGGAACCAGCAGTACCGCGCCTCCCCGCGCACAGCCGCTCTAAGAGCCACCGTCCCTCCTACAGGACGCGGGGGTTTTGTCCCCACTTGAAACGACCGAGCGCTGCGTGTGGTGTGAGCGCAGGGAGAGGGGCAGGAGCATCCCTCGAGGCGCGCAGATAGCGCGCAGCCATCGCCCCCACGTCCTTGTAGCCCGCTCCTTTTTTTTTCTCTCTCTCTCTCTCTCTCTCTCTTTTAATTCCCCCAGATGGGTTTTGATGAATACAGATCGTTACCCGCGCGGATACCACGGGAATTGTCTGGGGGGCCGAGCTGAGCGCTCCGGGAAGGAGGAGGGAGGGCTCTGAGCCGCACTCTCTCCCGTCCCCAGCTCCCCGCCGGCTCGGGGGACAGCGCGAACGCCTCATTCCCCCCCTCCTCCTCCGCTCCTTCCTTCCTTCCTTCCTTCCTTCCTTCCTCTGCCCGAGCACATTTCTCCCCCACATTCGCCTACGTTCTATTCCTCCTTGCAGAAAGGAAGGAGCCGTGCGAACTCTAACTAAAAAGGGAAAAAAAAAAAAAAAAAAACCAGAAAAAAAGAAAAAAAAAAACCAGAAAAAAAGAAAAAAAAAAAAAAAAAGGTGGGAGGGAGACAAGACGGGAATAAAAAAAAAAAAAATAAGGAAGGGGAGGGAGGAAGAAAAAAAAAAAAAAGACAGAAAGTGTCTGTGCGTGATCGCTGCCCATCTGTGCGAAAGGTGCTGGCTGCGCGGTACTCACATGGCTGTGTGGAGCGGCTCGCGGCAATTAATGAGTCTCGCAGCTGGAGCTCCTCTCGGCCCGCTCTGGTGGAGCGCTCTCCGCTGCCTCTCGCGCACGCACAACCCCGAGCAGATGCTCCAGGACCGGCCGCTCTGTGAGGGGAACAACGCGGGAGGGTTTGTATCGCTCCACGTTCGGGTGTGTAGCCTATAAATAGCGAACTTTTTGATGGAATCAGCGAACAAATGAGAGGAGAAGGCGTAATTTTGCGCAGGGAGCCCCCCTTTCTCTTTGCGAGATTAAACCCCCCCAGGCAGCGGCCAGAGCGAAAGTTGTGGGTGTGCAGAGAGGAATTTGAGTTCACTTTGATTGTGCGCGAGATTTTTGTTTGTTTGTTTATTTGGGGCTCTGCTTTCTGTTTTCCCCCCACAGCCCATACATTACACCCTCCCTCCTTCAAATCGGGGGCAGGAACTGACCCGGATTAATGCCGACTTTAACTCTGAACTGGAAATACGAGGCGTTTGGGGGTGTTCCTTTTTTTTTTTTTTAATTATTTTTTTTTATTTTTTGGAGGACAAAGAGGGGGGTCCACGCTATCCCGGATGGACGTGGATGAGGCGGGCAAGCGGCTTTCTTGACTTGGAAAGCAAGAGGGGGAATAGGAAAAAACAAACCAGACTGGAGTTATTTGAGGGATACTTCAGGAAGGAGGAAGGGAAAGAGGAAAAGTGTTTGTCCGCAGCTTTAGACAGTGCCCCGAAAGCGCTTCGCTTGGGGTTCCCCTCAGCCCACACAGAGTCGCATTGAGGGGTAGGAGCGAGCGCAGTGCTCCCCCCGGCCGAGATCAGCACGGAGGAGCCCGGCCTTGCCGGGGCAGCCGTCGGGCAGGGTCCCTCGGGGCAGGCTACGCTCAGCCCTCTCCCCGTATTTTGGCTGAGTATCGGCAATTTTGGGTCTCCCCTCTCGCTGATCGCTCCCTGCCTACTGAGGGTTTGCGTGCCAGGAGACAGATCCAACCGCGGCACCGAGATTTTCTTCCCTGCCCGCTCTGACCTGCCGTCCTGTCCCGGGGAGCACAGCCCTGCTCCTCCCGCAGCTCCGGGACGCGCCGCGCTCCCCTCTCCCGGCGGCAGCGAGCGGAGCGGCTGCGGGGCGGTGCCACGAACGGCCCGGCCCGACCCGGCTCCGCAATGCCCGCTGCCGCTCCCGATGCCTGCCGCAACCCGAGCCCTGCTGCCCTGCGTTCCCTTCTGCCCGACGTCCTGCTCTGTCCGCGCACGTTTCCAATCTCATGGCTCATAAACTATTAGCGAGGAGATTTCATTATTCACCTTCTGTATCGTACGAAGGCGAAAAGAAAGAAATCACAAAGATAATCCCGATCCGAGCAGCATCGTGCTGCAATGGGAGAGTTGCACGGGGCCCCGGTGCTTTGCGGTGGGTGCTCTCGAGGAAAGGGTGAATCCTGCGGATGGCACGGGGGCTTTCTGTTTTTATTTTTTTTTCTTTTTTCTTTCTTTCTTTCTTTCATTCTCTTTTTTATCCCCTTTTTTAATAGGCTGTGCAAAAGTTTGGACCACGAGGTAATTATAAAAACCAATATAGCGAATTTTAGAGAGAGACCCACTTTGCAATTTTACACCGAGAAACGAGATATTCCAGCAAAATTTCGGGTCATCGTCGACAATGGAGAGATGTTCTCTCGCTGTTTAATATACATGGGGTGGGAAATGGAGGGAAGGCACCACCAGAACACGTAGTGCCAAAGGAAAGGAAAAAAAATCAAATTACTGCATCACATTTTGGGGCTATTTGGCAGGACGCTTCAAAAAGAGACCCACACTTGATTATATCTCTAATGATTTTGCTGTGTAGCTGCTAGTTAACATTAAGGAGCAAAAGGGGCTTTCTACAGAGTTTGTGCATTAGGATACCTTCAAAAAGAGAAGAAAAAAAAAAAAAAAAAAAGATTTTCCTTGTACATTGATGGCACATCTGGGACTGCAGATGACCAACCTGGACCGACTTTTAATTAACACATTGACCTGCAGAAGAAGCGAACTCCCTGGGAAAAATGCTGTGTATACACCAAGAGCTTTTCACGTGCTGTGGGATCAGCTTGATTGCCTGCCCCAGCCTCCCTCCCAACTCGTTCTGGAGGAATACTGCCACTGAAAGGAGTGCATGGCAGTGCCCAAAGAGCCCGGAGATGCTCAGCAGAGCGTGGATATTCGGGTGCTCAGGGGTGGGTTTCACACTCCACATTCTGCCTGGAGCTGAGAGTAGCCCCACCCGTGTGTTGTGGCCCTAAACCCTCCCCCCCCCCCCCCCCCCCCCCCCCCCGGGTGAAGCACAAAGACAGGTTAGTGGCCTGAAATGCGGATCCTTCCCTCTCTATTCTGTCTCGCTAATCCTTTATATCTGTATTTGTATTCCTTTTTTTTCTTCTTCTTTCTTTCCCCTCCCTCCTCCCCCCCACCCTTCCCCCCCCCCCCCCCCCCCCTCCTTTTTCCAGGGCAGATTTCAGACAGGTTAGGTGCATTATGCCCTCCCCTGCCCCCAACCTTCAAGCAGAGAGACCAGAGTATGTGGAGTTAAAGTGTAACTTCTTGACAGGTAATAATTAAAAAGCTTCTTTCTAAATCTCTTTCCCCTCTGCTGAAAACACCGAGGCTTGCTTTTGCAATAGATCGCATTGATCGCACTCTCTGCACTGATCTGTCACCAGCCCCCAGCCCAGATGCTCTTCTGCACTCACCAGCACCTTCCCCTCTTTTGGCTAGATGGCTGCTCCAGGGCCCGTTTCTGGGACCCGCCAGAGAGGAAAACCAGAGAGCCAAAGGGGTCCAACTATCTCTCACACAGCTGGGTTGTGACTGTACCTCTGATTTTTGCCCTACGTTCACACTGTGGGGGAGTTTGGAAAGAAAAGATATGCAGGAAACCAATTCACTGCCATTGTTGGGGAGGATCTCTGCCAAGAGGCCTCAAACTCTTCCCAGGGGCAGAACTATCCAAAGCAAACCTTCAGCCTCGTCCTAGCAGCCGTGTTGAAAGTTTTAGGTGCTCTGAGTTACATGAGGTCATAAATTAATCTGCCAGAGGAGTACGGCAAGCACCTGATATCAAAGGAGGGTCAGGAGCCGGCCAGCTCCAGCTGGCCCCACGTGTGATTTACTCCAGGCTTTAAAGATGTATGCTGTGGTGTTTTGATAAGAATATAAGAGTCAGCAGTTTGATTTGGCAATTTTTTTTTTTTTTTTTTTTACTCTTCTTTCTGAAGAGGGCTGCAGCTTAAGCTGCGGAATTTGTTATTGCTCTCAGGGTGCTTTTTAGCAGAGGCTCTCGGTCTGCATGGGGCTATTTCACCCCTTTGCTGTTAGACTTAACTACGTTTCTGTCTCTATGGAGCAAGTCAGACAACAGTACGCACTTCAGCTCCTCTCCTGCCTGCAGCATCTCCTGAAGCACTCAGAAAAACCACAGCCCAGTTGTACAGATAAGATTCTCTGCCTCGGCAATGGCCCACCACTATGTCAAATTTCTGACCTCCTACCACAAGTCCTTGCCCTATAGGTCACTCTCTTCCCCCGACATCATTCCAGTACATAAGCACTTTCTTTTTGTCCTGTACAGGTGCACTCACACATTCTTCAGGGCTGAGTGTGGGAGGATGTCCTGCTCTTAGCTGAACACATCTCTTACATGCAGGTCCCATCACACCCACGGTGCCCTCATCCAAAGCCCCCAAACTTTCAGTCATAGCCTTTAATCAGAGAAAACTGAAAGAATGATCCCATTCTGACATGGAGAGACCACCAGAAATACCCCAGAACAAGGAGTAATGCACCAGGAGCATTCTGTAGAAATGACAGCAGTCACAGAGAGCAGAATTGCATGAGGAGTTTGGGATTATATCCCTGTTTTTTTCTCCTTTCTTCCTATTTTAGTTTCTCTGCCTGTAAAACAGGCAAATAGCTTCTGACCCTACTGCTTCTCCATGAGGCAATTGCTCTCTGAAAAAAGAAAAAAATCAGAAACACTCCGAGGACACAATTGGTGACAGTGTTCTGAGGTGGATGCACTGCCATTCTTGTGTTGTGCTTGGCTTAGACTTCCCAGCACAGACCCTGTTTTCTGTTGCGTGTAGCTTTAGAAAAAACATCATCACTTCAGCTGAAAACTGATATGCTGACTGTCTGTACCAAGATGATTATTTTGAAAATACCTGCCAAAACAATTTGTCCATTTCCAAGAACAAGGTTATGGAAAAATAAACAGTTTTGCTCATACTAAAAAAATGGAAACTTTTTCCTTTGAAATGCTCTGCTGCCCTCAGGCTTTGAAGCACGGACTCAAAATGTGACCTCTTTCATTCAAAACGTGCCTTTCCTTTCTCTGAAAATTTACACAAATCTGGCTAACTTGTACATATTAGATTTTTTTCTTTCTTGGATGAGCACACTCTCAGTAATGATTTCTTCTATTCTAATAGAGAAAAAAAAAAATAAAAAAGGATCATTAAAGACTGGTCTTGTCTAAGAACAGAAGCTTAAGAATACTGTGGTAAAGCTAGATTTCCACTTTAATCCCCACCTCCAAATTTTCCCAGTGAGCACAAGCCTTGGCACAGGATCTGAGAGGTAGGAATCCTATCTCTTCTAAGCTCTAAATGATTTGAAGGTTGTATCAAGAAGAAAGGTCTCTGCATGAATACGACAGGGAGAAAATTCCACCCTGTGACAGAGAAGGCAATGGAAGCAGCCAAGCAGCCTGGAGAGAAAAACTGGGACTGGTGTTTGGAGCAAGAGCCTGGGAATGATTAGGTAAGGAAACACAAAGGTGTTATGGAAAAAGCAGAGAGAAAGTGCTCAGCAGAGAAGCCTGGAGGGGAGAAAAGGGGCTGCCATGTCCAAAATAGCTGGGCTGAATCTCAGGTAAAACACAGTAAAAACTGTAAGTCAAAATGTTTTATTTCTGTATTGTTAACTGATGTACTTCAGCTTCTCTGTCAAGCATTAATGCTTTTTATTTTGAATAGAATTTGTTTTCTGATTCTGGAAAATAAACAATTTAATGACCTTCACAATAAGTATTTCTGAGCAAATTCAGAACATTTTAAAATGATTTTTGTGTGTGTGTGACATCAAGCTAAGGGAACATACTACACAGTCGGCACAAGCTGTAACATCAGGTACTCAAATGTTAGGACAATGTCTAAGCTGAGAGTTCCTAAGTTCTGTCTCCCTACACTGAGATACACGACCACAGAGAGTTCATTCCACCAATTTCCCAAAATACAAACGAAGCCCTGCAAGGTATGCCTTCTCTGTGGGCAGGGCACAAGTTTTTATTCAATGTATTTTCAATTTGTCACAGGATTAGGTACTGTTCACAGACAAGGCAGACAATTATAAGGAGAGAAAGCAGAGCCTTGTGGCAATGTGACAGCTGAATTTTGTTTGTAGAATCTGAATCCACTCCCCTTTCACCTTAAAGCTTCTATGATGTGAAGAAAGTCACCACAAGATGTAATAATTAGCAGAGATTTTTGTGTTATGGGAGCCCATCATGAAATTCTGGAGTTGGATTTACAGAAGAAAATTCCTATGACAAAATCCATGGGACTGTACATCGACAATGCCAAGGAATGCAGAATGTCAAACAGGCTGAAAAAAACAAGTAACCAGCATCTCTAATTGGATACTCAAAAATAGCGGGCACTTCTGACTTTAATCACATTTAGTTGGAGCACAGATTTATTAACAAGGATAAGACTCTCACTGCTTCAATTTTTTGTTGTAAAGGATGTTTGCCAAACACCCAGACACTATTCATCTTGTGGCTGTGAGAGGAACAGCAGAAAAATGTGCTGGGTTCAAATTGGGATTTCTGTGCCCTAAACAAAACCTACAGAATCCCACACAGATAAATTCAACAGCAGAAACTAGCTCCTGTTAGCCCTGTTCCACGTACTACTCTGAATGACAAAGGGGTGCTCACAAAAATATCAAGCAGAAAAGTCCCACACCTTTTCAAATAATATTCTTGTAGGTTGTACATGAATGGATGAAACAAAGTTTTTGTTTTGTTTTGTTATTTTTGAAAAGGGAGGAAGCGAGGAAGAAAAAAAGCAGAGGAATAAGCCCATGATGTCAGAAAACATGGAAAATATCAGTTTTGGGCATTCAGCTCAACAACTTCTCTTTGGTTACTGCAAGATCTCTTTTCCTTTGCATTTTTTTTTTTTAACATCCTTTCAGTTGCTTCAGAACAAACATTTTTTCCAATGACAAATTTTGAATTTTGAGGAAAGCTTCCCAGTATTTCCCAGAAAATTCTTGATCATCTCCAGGTATGTGAAGGTGCCATTAGGAGCTGCATGATAACATATCTTTGCAAGGGATTGTAACTGAGTGGTGTGATCAGCTCTCATTCTGTCACTTCCTACTGCTTTCTGCTGGCTTTAAATGTTTATAGACTCTGTAATTTGCTTTTAATTTGAGTGTGTGTGTATGTGTAAAATACTGTATGACCATATGACCATGCAAGATTTATCTTCTACCTAATTTATTGCTGTTCTATTTCTTCCATTAAAGCATAAGTTTTTACATCCATTCATTGATTTTACATTCCATAGAATCACAGAATATCCTGAATTGAAAGGGACCCACAAGGATCATTGTGTCTAACTTGTGGCTCCGTACAGAACCAGCCAAAATCCAAACCCTATGTCTGAGACCATTATCCAATCGCTCCTTGAAGTCCATCAGCTTGAGACCATGCCCACTGCCCACTTTGGGTTTTATTGCTCTTATAGCATGTATTTAATTGCTTGATTTTTGATTGCTTATATATTATTTATTTTAGCATTGACAGCTATATGTAGGGAACTGGAGTAAAGTCTCCAAAGTTTTCAGGTGGATGGCGGAACCATTAACCCAGACTGCTCTACAGCAAGCTGGATTTGCACAAGCAAGGGAAAAAAAAAAATAAAAAAATTAAAGTTCTGTTTTTTGTGTTACAGAGAAGTTCCAGAATCACTCTCCTTTGTAATGTAAAGATAGTAGCATGATCACCAGGCATGTGGTCCTGACCTCAGACCGAGGATCCTTGGCCTAGAGTCAGGCAGTCCCTGCAGTCACTGAAACAGCCAAATTAACTGTCCGTTTAGCCATGGATTAAAATTCATCCACTGATCCAAGACAGTAAGTGAGACAATAATTTGTGACTCCTACTTTGCTTCACAGCAGATCCTCATTTAGAATAAAGCTGCAGTTCAGCGGTGAGTTTTTATGCCCAGAAATAATCATGATGGCATTGCAAAATTGTACCTGTAATAATTTGAACAAATGGGATAAATAAATGCAAATTTAAAAGGAGCAAATGGATCCAGTTTTCATTAATGCAGAGCCTGTTCAAGAGCAGGGAATAAAGATAGCTTCGGGAACCCTGATACAATCAGCAGTCACTATTACTTTGAGTAGTAACTCATAACAAATAAAGTGCCATTTCCAGTGAGTAAGGACCTCTTCAACATTGCTTTTACCACCACAACCTAACTCACTTCTTCTCTAGCAAATCACAGACTTGATTGAAATGTTGTAGAGCAAATTGCTTAATGCTTTCTAGAGACCTCAAATATGTGAAGTTCCTAGTGAATAAATGTGACAGCTAATTTCAAAACCAAGGACAAAAAAAAAAAAAACAGCCAGCTAGAGAATAGAGGCTCTATCTTTTTTAATATTTCTACTAGATGCTGTACTTGGCCTTAGTGACAAAGCAATATACACTCCAAAGTTCATCATTTTTGTACTAACATACAAGACAGAACAACTAGCGCAGTCTCAGTTACGCAATGCAAGGGTGGCCATCTGCTGCTGAGGAACTGGTTTTGACCCAAATAACAGCAAGTGTTTGTGTGTCACAGACAGAAACTCAAGGTGTGTTATCTGCATCTCCATTGAACAACATTAAAAATAAAACCAACAACTTCAAGACCTAGTATGAAAGTCAACGTAAAACAGTACGATTACTTCTGTGCTTGTATACCCTGTATCAGAAGCCTTTTCACACTGATAAATGTCCTCATCATAGTCAATAATAATTAAAAAAAAAGGAAAAAAAAAGCTTTTTCTTTTTCTCAGCATATCTGTCCAAATCAAAGATCTGTTATTTATGTCAATAAAGATTTACTCTTGCTTGTGATGATAATCCCATACCATCTCACCTCTGAGGTGACTATCTCTCAATGACGAGTGGATAGATCACTATGTAAAACTAAGTACCTACTTTGAGGTACAGTAATCTGACCGTATCTCCATGTATCTTGGAAGGCTCCAAAACAACTGTAAGGGTCATGATAAATCATTTGAGTATAAGGTTAATGCTCATTGCAATAGCATTGCAATATTTCATAGGTATATGTGCAAAGGCAAAGGTTTTATTCATAAATACACTGATGATATAATTGCCTTGGACCCTCCTAGCATAAATTTAGAGAGAGGAGTAAAATAAAAGATGACTCTAATTTTCTGGCTATGAAGATGACTTTTCCTACGAGCAGTGGCCGGTCCATCTTTGTCACACTCGGCATTACAAAACTCCCCACTCGCTCACCCGTATCACCACCAGAGAGAAGGTGAAAGGCAGAGCTGTCTAAGGAAGTAAATTTAAGATGATTAAGATAGTCTGGACTTGCTGTGTGGCCTCAGTAGTTCACTCATGAGAAGGCTTGCCAAGGCAGAAATGGAAGTTAGGCACCTAGTCCAACTCTTACAATCAAGAGGCAACCTCCCTAAAAGCAGCATGCCAGTCTTTCACTGAGTTTGAACTGTCAGAAAGAGCTGCAGTATTTAAACTACTTTCATGGTGAGGGAATTTTTCAGTTTTGGGATTATTTTCTTGGTCACTCATGGTAACTCCACATTTATGAGAATAAGGAAAGTATACAGGCCTACTTGTAACACTTCAGTAGAGAAGAGGCAATTGCTTGAGATCTAGCAGCTAAAATTTGTGATTCTAGTTTTAGCTCTCCTTCCAAATAATAAAAATGTATTTAAAATAAATATCCATGATAAGATGTACTGACAACAATAATAAAACTATGGAAATCTAATATATTTGAATGCTTACTATCAAATGGAGGCTACTGTAGAAGGAGTTACTGAATGCTTTCAGCATGATAGACGTACTGATTTCCATCCTACAGCATATATGGGTATATATGGGCCAGGAGAACAGGGTTCAAGCCTCCATTTTCTGGAGGTGATGATGATGAAGATAAGGTATGTAGAACTGTATGGAGGAGGATGAGGCTAAAGGTGAGACATTCTCATAAATACTGATGCCAAAAGGAAAAAAAAACAGAAATGACTTCCGAAGCCATCAGAGAAATCTTGAACACCATGCTATTTTAATGATTTTGTTACTGTTATTGGAACCTGAAAATTACTTCTGTTCTTAATAAATACACATTTATTTCAGTATGCCTCACTAATACTTTAACACTCCTTTGGTACCTGATTCATTAGAATGCAGGTGAACTTTGCCTAAATACGGAGAACTGTAGAGCTAATGTTAGCATCGTAATGCAAAAAGCTGAGAAAGAGCATTTTATAAAAAGCCTAAAATAAATTGAAGGCCTGTATTTTTTTATTTTTTTTTTTTTAGTGGAAGATTACAGATCTGTAATATATATATTTATCTAGTCATAAATGTACTAGCATTTTTAAATGCACTAATATTTTGAAACATGTGAGTGAATCAAGTAATAGACTGGAACAAAGCACATGATTATCAGTTCTGCATTCAGAGTCAGTTTGAAGTTCAGCAGACAAGTAAATTTGAACTCAGAAAAATAGATTTCTAGCCCTATATATTTACCTCACAGCCACTTTTTTACGGTTTGGTAATACTTTGTTATGGTGGGAGTGCAACCTCTATTAATCTGAAAGTACAATGTAAGCTCCCTTTCTTCAGGCATAATTCTTCTTTGCCTGCATATTTGTATCTTCCCTACCTTTGATTTAGAAACTCTTATTCATCTCAGTACAGGTGGAAGTCAAAGTCTACTTTTTCTTCCGATTAGAATCTATTGGCAATTGCTCAGACATACTGGTGCCACAGATAAAAAGAGATTCAGACTTTTTGTAGGGTGCTTGGTTCCTTGTGCAAAGATGTTACAGCCTTTAAGCTGTGCAGGTGGTCAGGCTGCCGGGGCTTCCCTCAGCCCCCTTCCTACAGAGTTCTCTTCTCTTGAAGAGAACTTGGAGGAAGACTCTTATCTTAGATGGCCTGACATCATCTTGTGCAATCTCTTTTTTCAAAGCTGCTGAATTCTCACTCGTACCTCTGAGGCACTGACTGTGCCGTTCATTTAAAGAATTTATTTATCCATTTTTCATAGAATCACACATTATCCTAAACTGAAAGGTACCCATAAGGATCATCTAGTCCAAGTCCTGGCTCCGTGCAGGATCACCCAAAATTCAAACCACATTCCTGAGAGTGCTGTCCTATCTATTTACTATAATAGGAACAATTTCATTCTGGACTAGTATGCTTCAGGCTTCAGATATCAACATCCAAAACAAGTCAAAGCTGTCTATGCTTCACATGGCACAAGAACTTTTACTCCTTCCCTAAAGAAAATGTTCTTGTTGAATAGGAAATGATACACTGGATCATACATATGGTCCACCTACACAATGTACACTGCCTGCACCGGCTAGAATCTGATACAACCAGGAAAAATGTTGAAACTACACTATAATCAAGTGGAAATCCTCCTGGAGGACTTACTTTTGTTTTTAAGAACAAAATAGTGTCCCTTGCTTCAGTTAGGGGAAAAGCTGATTGGCTTTTATTTGATGTTGGAACAGGACCGATACATTGATACAAAGATACTCAGAAAAGTGAGTTTATAATATCCATATTGATTTAAAAGAAGCCTAAAATTAAGGCTGTGTAAGCACTATGGCAGGTTTCTGTTTCTATTTATTTGTTTTTCCATATTAAACAACAAATTCTTATGCCAAGAACCAAAGAGCAAAATTTTACATTCACTGAAACCAAATACATTTTAGAAGAATAAATTATAGAATTGGCTTTTGTTTCTAAAGTCTCTATCATTTTATTCAGCAAAGGAATTGAGAAGATGACATGATCAGCAGGTAGGAAAAGCATCTGTGGAGATGGTGGTTGTTATTACTGGTGGGTGAACATGATACTTATGGAACATGTAAGAAGCTTTCTGATCTCACGCTCCAAGATTCATGATGTGCAAACACTTCTGGGACTCCCATTGATTTAACTGGATCTTGAATATTGACACAATAAACCAGTACTAAAAATGCTAAAAGTTCTGCTTGTGGATAGCCTGGACACTCAGTGCTGCTTGCCTTAGGCCCATGGTTAATTTTTAACAACGTGGACACAAACCAATGACCTGTGCTATTGCTCAGGAATGTCTGACCACTCACCGACTCCCAGTTTCAACAGAACGGCCACTATACTGGAACTTACTGGTGCTTAAGGACGCACCCAGTTCAAACTACACCCTCCTGTTACTGGGATGAAAGGAATATTGTTATTTTGGAGTGAAAGCACACTGAGATATGTGAAAAGTTTGCTGAAGTTAAAAATGAAATGGGTTCCAGTTGTTATTTCTTATTACTTTTATAAAACTGTTTTAATAAAGATGGAACATTTAGACTGAATGCAGCAAAATGATTACTTTAGCTTAAAAGAACAACACAAGGAAAAATATATAAGTGCATTAGGACAGTTGTTGTAGAAATATGATTAAGATCTGTACAAGTAATAATACAACTGAAAAAAAAAAGATGTTCTACTGATTTTAATTTATTTGTGCATAGAAATTTGTAATTAAAACAAATCCTATTTGCTGCTTATTTACAACTTTATCATAACAGGACCATAGAGCTGAATTATATTAGGTGATTTTTATGGTTTTTTTTCTTTCTGCTTCTGTGTACACATCTAAATCATGAAGGGAAGATGAGAGCGCTAGCAAAATCCAAACACCTTATTCAAAACAAAAAATGTAATTGTTCAGAAATAGGCTATTGACTTTCACTGGGTTAAACAGCTCATGTAGTGATTAAGCTTGAAGCTATAATTGTTCTTGTCACCCAAACTCTGCTCAGTCAATATCTTTTTATCATATACATTTTTAATCACATATTAATAAACAAGAAGGTGTGCTTTATTGATGCCTGGATTAGTTTATTGACCAACTCAACAACTCTATGTATGGTTTCTGAACACAGAAACAAGGTCAGTGTGTGAAGATGAGGAATAGTACATTCACCATCTTTAATATACTTCATTCTAGCAGTCCTCTTGTAAGGTGTTGCAATCTCTACAGTTTCTCCAATTTTTTAAAATAAATTATTTCATATTTGAAACTGCTTCAAAGTTAAAGCACATTTTGGGTTGAGCTTTAAGAAATATAACCACGAGTTTCTTTAATACAACATGATTTTGACACCTTGACACTAAATTATTTGGAAATGTTTGGGAAATCAAACTTTCATGTACTTGTAGATTCTTACAAAATATTGCTTATTCACATAGATTTCTGAAAGCATCTACGCTTTTCAGATTCTCCTAACAACTAACTCTGCTCAAACTTCTTATTCATTCCTTTCTTTTCTCTATGAAGTGCTACTGTGAACATTCCATAACAGTAACTCAGATTTGGAAAGAAGGCCTCTAAAACAACTATATAAAATTAACAATTAAGACAGTAATAGAACACGACAGTATTTTTGTGTGTTCCTTCTCATCAGACAAAAGCTGCGCATAGGAACTCACATTTCCTTTTTTTTTTTTCCAACTTGTTTTTCTGATGGATTAGAGATAGATCTTTTCATCAGTATTTGCACAAAATACTGTTTTGCAATAGTATTCAATTGAAAATGTTTTGATGATTCTGTCTGTCAAATGTTCACGTGATATCCTAAAAGAAGAGTCGTTTGGAAACAGAGCTGACTGCAGCATGTATGAAAGTACACATCAGCCAGACACAAAGATGAAGTCTGCTTCCAACCTGAAGCTCACAGCCTCTAAATCCAGCTGAAAGCTCTTCTCCTTAAGGTATGAACTTAAAATAGGCCAAAATGATTACTCACTACAGTATCATGTATGAGTATCTCTGATGTTACCAATGTCTCACATACCTGAATTAGGTAATGACACAATCTTAAAGAAAATACTTTTAATCTCTATTTTCTCTAAAACCATACACACAGGCTGCACTGCTTTGCTTTCCCACTGCACACTTCTTCAAGTGACTTGCCAATGGGCTCCATTCTCTACTGCACAGCACTGCTCACAGTAACAAGAAGTTGTTGGAATAGCTCTCCGCACCTCTTTTTCTCACTCAAGAATTGTGTTTCATCTTTGTCCTCTAAATACAGCATTATCAGCTACATTTTCCATGCAGATTCACTTGTGTAGTATCTGGCAATATTTCTGATCCTTCTGGGCCCTTTTCTGATACTGTCTAGATTTACACAATTTTTCTAAGTAGAGGGAAGAAATATCTTAGTTCAATCAAGTAGTGCTTTCCTGTGCATTTGTCTATAGAGTTTAAAAGACGTACATCTTTTGTTTTCTTTTGCAAGTGCTACTCTATAATCCTCAAGCTGTGGTGTTGGGAAAAAAGTTAATAACTATGTACACTGAAGTGAAAATAGCTAGTGTAACATGAAGAGAAACTTGCTAGTATAGAACAAAAAGCAATACAAATGAGCATCGGTACCAAGTGCAGGCAAAAATCCTGCAGATGACTAACACACTGGCAAAGCCATTCATATTCACATGAACATTGTATAAGTGCCAAGTGCACCAAGATGTTGCATAGGAGTTCTGGTCATGTAAGGTAAAGCTTCCCAGAGGCATCCTTTAATTGGTCTAATTTTCTCTGCCAAACACCATCAAAGTTCTAGATGTTCAGGCCAGGTCTTGTCACTTTACTATTTCATCACTTTCTGGATTATCTACTCCCAGCATAAATGCTCTCAAACACATTTGCTGCCTGTATGTTGCTCTCCCTTTCACATGCATAGCCACCTACACACCTCTTTCTATAAGAGCCTTACTGAACTCTCAGAAATAGAGACAGGAAAACAATGGAGTCTAAACTGCTATTCAACCTCCGCAGGTAAACTGATGTCCAGACACTTCCTAATTTCAAGGTTAGGCACAGAAAATCCTCCTAGCACATTAGGAACACAGTCCACTCTACTTCTGTTAATTTTCACCTTTTTTGGGGGGGGAGGATAGGAGGGGGGTGGAGGCAAACACACACACAGAAAACTAAATCTCGAGACAAGGAAAAAAAAACCCACAACAACACAAGCTTCAGGTTGCATATGCTACTCCATACTGTCAGTGCTTATACATAGGAAGCATATGGAGCTAGGTAAGCAATAACATTTCTGAGAAAGTTATTATTAAAGGGAAGACAACTGCTAGAGCCAGTTTACGAAATGACTGAAATGAGTACAGCACTCAATGAATGTCTGTTTTCCTTAGTAGGAACACACAAAATCACGCCAGCATGGGATGACTCACCACAAATAGGTGGGTTTGACTCTTGGCTCTGACATTGACATATTGCATGGCCTTAGGCAAATCCCAAAACATTTGTTTTTACTTCTCCACTTATGTGATCTGGATAATACTTATATACCTAAGGGGGGTATTTTAAGATACAATATGTTTAAGATACTACAAAGATTTTAAATGCTGTAACATAGCTATGCCTCATTAACAACGTCGAGCTAAAATAAACACTGGGATGATTTAGGTAATGTGGTACATGTTCCTGGAACTGGGAACTTTGCTGAACAAAGAGCAAAATCTTCAAAGAGCCAGAGGTAAGGGAATGCACAGCCCACTGCAAAGCTGAAGTACTTTGCAAGGGTGGGTGAATTTATAAGAGAGGAAGAACAAGTTTGTTTAATAGGCAAAAGTTCAGTCTTCATTAGTTTTTTAAGTGGTTGGGCTGAACTGAAAGACAACACAAGCTCAGAGGTGGGTGAATAAAACAAACGTAGGCCTCATTTATCCACACGTATTGAAGTTAGAGAGGATTTTGCCAGGATGAGACCTGACAGTTTGTTCCTACTGCCTACACAGTAAGAAAATTATTAAAGTATCAAAAGAGATACCTTTCATGCAAAGCTTCCTCTCATGTTGTGAAGGGCAGTTCTCTCTGAAACTTTGAAAGGTGTTCTGCAAGGATCACAGTACTGCTTCATGTAGAAAGGATCACTCTTATCCTGTGGGACTTATCAGTAGGTCAGAAATCAAAGTGCAGTGCAACATGCATTGGAAACCCTACTGAAAGAGAAGGCCCTGGATAGTGATCCCTTGGCATGTTAATTGCACTTAAGGAATGCTACCAGGAAGCAGGAGTGAGGCATGCAGCACAGACAGAACTGAGGGGCCACAAAACTCTGCCTCAAGAGTCTGAGCCCGTCACCACTGTTCTTAAATCCTACTTGCATTAGAAGGAATACATTGCTGGGCTATGCCAGAGAGAGGCAACTCCAGCCCACAGCGTAACAGGTGATAGCACAGCATTATCACTTCTGAAGTTCTCTTACTTTTTTGTCTTCTCCAAGATGTTTTTGCACTTAGGACCTAAAAGAATAGTGAGAGAAAGTCTGACAGTGCGGAGAGTGGTATAAAAAAGATGTGAAATCAGGTTAACCACTGTGAAAGTAAGAGGGAAAAGCTTGAGCTGTGAGGAAGAAAAGAAGCTGAAGTGGATGTTCTTGGAGTGAGGAAGGATAGACGAGACTTATCTTCAGAAGTGATCAGTGGCAAGGAATAAGTACAACAACAGCAGTAAACTTTGAAGTATCAATAAGTGAGATTTGGGACAGTTAGTGCCAAGATCTATTATTTTCATTAGATGTTACTGTTTCGGCATTTCAGTAAACATGAGAAAATAAGCTGAATGAGTTGTGATTTGGAGTGGGCCTCCAGCTACTGGAGGTAAACCATAGTACTTTTTACTGTGGAAACAGGAAGGGACTGAGGGTCTGGTCTGGCACCCAGTCCAGCTCAGGTTAGTTTCACAGAAAGGAACCCTGATTGTGACTTCTGAGACTGCACAAAGACGTGAACAAAAGTGTTGCCAGCGGAGAGATCTGAGAGACTTTGGTGCACTTTCAGTCCTAAACAGAGTACTCAAATAGCACACTATGTAGGAATCAGACACTCTGGACTTGCCACACCTCATAAATCTACATCAAGGTAATTTTTAAATTTCTACTACAGGCTATTCTGCGATAGATGACACAATGAATAGGGCAGTTTCTATACTTCATACTGCATCTTCATATCTGTCATATTTACTACTTAAGACGTCTCTAAAAATGGGCACTGACTCTAGAATGCAGTTTGAGACACTAACATATAACTGGATACAGAAGTTTCTCTCAGCAGAAATCAGTTTTCAAACTGAAAATACTTACACCCAGTACTTCATTGACAGACTTCATTTTAGAGACACAAAATGAAATTCATATTAAACTAACAAAGCTAATACATTTTTACTACATCTGCAGACCACAGAACACTTTGCTTTCAAGAAAAGTTGAATAAATCACAGAGCTTTCTTAAAGAGACTTCTCCCCTTGTCTTCAGAAAGTCTTTAATGTGACATCTGTCCCTGCACTGTCACCTCTTTTAAAACTAACAAATGCATGACATATAATACAAGATTTATAAATTAAAGAAACCCACCCCTTTTAAGTAATATTCTTTAAATCTCAGTTTCTGACAGTCCTCCTATTTGCTCACTAACTGTAGTAGGCGTATTTTTCAGAAAATAGTGAATAAAAACTGACAAGCTATCGGGGGAATCTGAATGCATAATTGATAGGGGCATAAATTAATATGATTAGGCCTTTATTGGGTGCCACTGCTGCCAAACCTACAAAAGGGGCATGGAATAAAACATGGCTATGTTCTCAGGGCTGATAGACATCAATATGTAATGCATATTATCTCAAGCCTTCTCATGTACTCTGCTTATGACAGCACTCAACCTAATTGAAATTTTTATCTTTCTGTTGCATACAGACAGTTTTGACTAGGTGCTTCCAGGGAAAAGAGAAAACCAAACGACCCAAACGAAGGTTTCTCTGCAGAGGTACATACCCCGCTAGCAAACCACTGTAAAATAGCTTTCTACTTGTTAGCTTTCTAAAGTCATCTTCAGAAAGCTGTGTTAAAGGTATCCCCGGACTTGGATACCACTCCCCCATTTAACTAAACTTAATAGTGCGTTTCCCTAAAATTAAGAAAAAATCAAATGATTGCTTTGTAGAAATCAATGTACTGCGTGCTCATTTCAGCTGAGGTTTTGCTTACTACAGTTCTTGTGTTGCATACATTTAGCTTAGGAAGAAATTATTTTCTTTTGAATAACGAACTTCTTAAAACTATTCTACTTCAGATCTGTGATGGAAAAGTTTAAAATTAAGAAGAGTTTCTTGAAATGACAGCCTTCATGTCTCTCCAAAATACATTAGCCAGCTGACACAGTGTCATCCGATAATTCAAAAATATTTTCAACTTTTTCTTTCCTTTTCAGTTATTAACTATGAATTCCCATCCATCCTGTAAAAAGCCATTCCAAAAAACATGGTATCTGACAGTAATAAAATGTTTCAAGCATTTGCTATAAATGAGAATTCATCAATATGCACTTTTCCTAAAGGGTTTTGCTTTGACAAGTCAAAGTTGATTAAAAGGTTGCACAGTTAATATTTTGCTCTTTATCAAAAAGTTCTGTACTGCTCAAGTGTTCCTGAGAATCTATGCTGCAATTACTAAATACTTTTATTACAGTAGTGCTGGATGTTGTACAAATAAGATAAGGAGTCTGTTTCTGCTCCATTGTTTACAGTCTAGAATGGGATTATCCCTGGAGTAAGAAACATTCAACCTGTAAAAATCAAAGTAAAACACAGAAAGAGGCAGAAATGGGTCCAACACATCACTTTAGCTTCATTGAAACTCACTTCCAAAGACACAAGAAATAAATCTATTTTTCTTTTCTTAATTTATTTCTG